ATTGGAGTATGTGGCTGTGTGTTGGGGGCATGGTGGGAGGTGGGGAGCTAGCCCCACCTGTCCCAGCCCTACAGTAGTGAAACTAACGTTGTGTTGGTCAGTTTAACTACTCTTGTGCATCCTGTTGGATACCAGCAACAGAAAACCAAGACATTGGCAGCACATAGGTCAAGGAATAAGCCAAGGGGAGGACTCAGGCTGAGCAGAATAGCATGGGGAAAGAGGAGGAAGAGATTAAGGAACAGGAGGTTTATGCAGTTGAAGGGGACGGTGAAGATGTAACTGACAGAAGTAGTCTCCATTCCTTATAAGCAGCTGGCTATTGTGGAGGAGTACTCAAATGTATTGCCTATATAAGAAGCCTTCTGTGAAAAATTGATCTGTTGAATAGGCTGTAGGGATGGTAGCCTGTAGTGAATATCAACAACCTTGTTCTGCCTAGCATCTTGAAAGGAATATTGGGTTGTTGTTCATGGTGTTTTACAAGAGGCCGCTGGGTCATGTCTGACTTCCATATTGGTATCTGATTAATAAACACAATTCTTTGTCAGTCAGTATCTGTCCTGTTAAGTTCCTGGAAGAGAGCTTACTTACATAGGAAAAGCAAAAAAGAAATACTGACTAGTGAGTATTAAGGGAAGTAGGAATAAGAGAGATTTTACATATAGCAGCACTTCACTTTAGTTCTGTTGGGAGAGGCTTTTTTGCACCTCCAGTTTTATAGCTTGTGCACTAACATTTTAATTGCTGTCAGTATTACATTTCTACTGTTGAATTTTATGATGTTCCCCCACCCTCTTGCATATTAGACATACAGCCATTGTCACCAATCTCTGTTCATGAGCGCTACAGTTCTCCCATAGCTGGAAGTGCTAAGAGAAGGCTTTTTGGAGATGGCAGCCCAAGCAAAATGCAGATGGAGAAGATTTTGTGCGAAGGAACTAACTTGAAAATTGCCCCATTTTCAAGCACTACTGCTGAAATTGTGTCTGTCTCCCCTGGACAGACAGTATTGACTATGTCAACAGCTGCAGTAGCAAAAACAACAGGACAGAAAGTTACACTTCCACTGCATGGTAAGTCTTGCCTTCATGTTAGCTTGAGGCATTTTATAAGGATGCTGAGTGCTTTACTTTTTCTTTCCCTTACATACTATTAAACACAGTGGATATTTAATTTGGAGAGCTTTCTGTTTTGAAGGCATAACGTTTAAAGAGACGAGGATTTCTTTGGGTGATGACTTTTATTGTACCAACTGCATAGCTGGGATAGTTAGACAACTGTTGCATATATCGAATTGTGTCTGTTGGCTAGAGTTGCAGAAGATGGGTCCCCCTGGGGTGATGTTTTTTCTTGCATAGGTTTAGGAAGATGTTACTGTGTAGACTGGCTTGTTTCTTTAGGTTGTGGATTTTCCATTGTAAGCAACAGATTTCAGTATCTCAGATTGTTATCTTCTGTGTTATGGTAATGTTAGAGTGATGTGGTAGCTGTGATGGTCCAGGAATTATGCAAGAGGCAAGGATTTCTTTGAGTGATATCTTTTAATGGACCAATTGCATAGCTGGGTAGAGTTAGACACCTGACTATTGATGTCCAACTATCCTGATTATGCAGCATTCTGCACATGTTGCAGGTGGCGATAGAGTCATGTGACCCAACAGAACGTTGGGCTTGCAGTATATAAGCCCAGAGCCTGAACTGGGGCAACTGGGATGTGAAGAACTACTGAACAACCAGGCTCCTGGCAAACACATAAGCTGGGGTAAGCAGACCAGTGGTCTGTGGGTTGAGACAAGGGGAGGTAAGGTGGTCTCAGCCTGGGAGTGGGGCCAGGGCCCAAAAGATAGGGGCCAAGGCTGAAGAACAGGGCCACAGCGGAAGGGTCATGAGAGCAAAGGGGGGCAGGGACCTGTAGTTTGCAAGGGGCAAGAGGCAGAGTCAGTAACTTGTAGCCCAGGAGGGGCAAGCATGGCCAGGAAGCCCAGAGGTCACAGCTGCCATAGGAGCAGGGCCAGAGAAGGGCGTAGTCAAGGCCAGGGGCCCAATGCCTCACAAGAGGCAGGATCCAGGTCAGGGACCCAAGGCTGCACGCGGGAGTGGCCAAGATGGGCAAAGTGTCTGAGTGTGTGCAGAGAGAGACAGCTCGATAGCAAACAGTAGCATCTGTGAGGCACAAGTGTAGTGTGTAGCTAATTCTATTCCATCTCGGAGGAAAGGCAGCAAGAGGGCAGAGCAGCCCCCTGGCTCTCCAGGGATCTAGCAGACCTCCTGAGGCTAAAAAGAAGGGCCTACAAAGGATGGAGGATAGGATTCACCTCCAAGGAGGATTATTCTGCACTGGTC